GGACTCGATACAAATGACGAGAAGCAGGCAGCTATTGATCTTAGTCTTTTATTATCCTGGTAACTTCTAATCAGGTTGAATGTCCCTCGTCTATAAGGCATTTTGTTATATATATATCACCATATACAATATGTGACTGTAATGTGAAAGGCTACATACATTATTTGGTCATTTATGTAAATAGATGAACATTGAAATCAACACAAATGAGTAACCTCCCATATTCACAAACACCTTCCTTCTGCTTCTATGTGAAATATAAACACAACAGGCCGGCCGTACAGTGGAAATCATCGTCTCAGGGGAGGGGAGAGGAGGGGGAAATAGTTATTACTACAAAAAATAAAAACAAAACGTTTACGCCGCCAAACGTTTCAGTCCACGCTATACATGCATCACAAAGTAAAATCCGGGTGGGAGTTTGATATTGCATTAAAGAAAAGAGCTCCCTTTAGATTGTTCAGCACTCTGGATGTGTGTCTCAAGAACTTCCCTCTGCTACATTAATGACAACACTCGAGCCTCATAAAGCAGCCGTCCGGCCCCCCAGACCCCGGCCCTCCTCTGGTTTTCTGTTAGTTTGGGCACGTCACCCGTCTTTGAGAACACTGTGTAGTTAAATGGAAAGATTACTTCTTCAATTAGAGGTGCACCTACACCTGTTGTTTGTTTTTGCTGATATACTCGAGCACCGGTCTGCAGAGGAAGTCTGAGGCAAAGCTTAGAAAAGCCGCCCCCTTAGTTTAGCTTATGGCAGGGGTGTCCAATCCTGGTCCTGGAGGGCCACAGTCCTGCATGTTTTAGATGTGTCCCCTCTTCCAACACACCTGATTCAAATGATCAGGATGGTTATCAGGCTTCTGCTTGATGATGAGCTGATCATTTGAATCAGGTGTGTTGGAAGAGGGACACATCTGAAACATGCAGGACTGTGGCCCTCCAGGACCAGGATTGGACACCCCTGATCTAAAACATGCAGGACTGTGGCCCCTCGAGGACCAGGATTGGACACCCCTGATCTAAAACATGCAGGACTGTGGCCCCTCGAGGACCACGATTGGACACCCCTGATCTAAAACATGCAGGACTGTGGCCCTCCAGGACCAGGATTGGACACCCCTGACCTATGGGATCACGATTGTGTTATTTGAACCCATCGACACTAAACAGCTGAGCCACGATCGCCTGTTGCTGTTTGATTTAACTCAAGATCCCACGAAGTACATTAAAAAAGATTTTTTAGTTTTCGACTCTCTAACGTGCCTCTTCAACCAGGTGACATATTTAAATTATTCCATTTGATCTCCTGTCGATATCTAATTAAATAAGCTGCTGAGTTCATCTGCAGCAGCTTTAAAAACCTCTTTAAACTACTCAAATGCATCCCATCTGTCCCTTCTTGTAACCCAGAACTTCCCCATCGTCGTCTCTGAGCTGCTCCTCGTCTCGGGTCTGGACTCGGGTCTAGGTGCACCGCTAACCTGAAAATATCAAATTGCAGCAAGTTCTATTGAAGTGGTACTACCTTTTAGCCAAAACATTTAAACAGCCCTTTCATACTTTTACAAATTATTTTTCAGCTGGCTTAAGAGCAACTGCTACCAAGATGACAAAAAGTATTTTGGCCATTTTTTTTTTTCTTTTCATATTTTGTTTTTTTTAAAAGGTACCCCCCAAAAAAACCAAAAAAACAATAGCACTCTTGCACAATTTATGTTCTGTAGAAAATGAGGTATGTTTCTTTTCCGTTAGTGCATATCAATGTAACAGTGCAAAACCAATTACAACAACTACATGTTCAACGATCACCTTGTCAAAATACTACTTTTACAGCATTTTACCCCACCGTCACTTTCACAAGGCATACAAGAAGAAACCACTTTGAGACACTGAACACACAATATCCTTCTGATCGATGTCAAATCGTAGGAACTAGGGGGGTGAAGCAAAAACACATTTACAACCGAAAAAAGAAAAAAAAAAAAACCTCTGGTAATAATGACTAGCAAAGCCGATGCACAGTAGTAACTCTGAGATCAAAATTAAAAACGTGCGGCGTGTGTCACTCCACACTCGTTTCACTCAAACATTTTCCAAATCAACTCCAAAAAAAATAAATCCCTAAATGAAGCTTCCTTTTTAAACTTTTACTGGAATGTTTAATGCTCATGTGATGGGCTGAGAGATAAACGACAGAAAGCCTCTCGTCTGTGTTCTGGATTTAAACTTTTTCTTGCAGGAAAAAAAAAAAAAAAAAGCATCCATAATAACCAATCCTGAACCCTTAATCCGGGGAGGTTTTCCTAATGTTTAGTGTGAACTTGGATAAAGAGGGTCTTTAATAACATAGTGTTAAATCCTTGAAAGTGTCAAAGTGTGTACATGTAGAGATTCTTAAAAGCTGTGACTGAGAAACAGGCCCGTCAGAAAGCATACCGTTTGAAAAGACACCGGAGGACGTGTCCCTTCAAAAGAAAAGGCCTGAGAGTAGTAGTCTGATGGAAAAACAAAACAATGGATTGTCTCATTCCGGTGAATACGCCTGTTTCCTTTTTGTCCTATAAAATATGTCGAAATGTTGTAAGGCGTTATATATATATACAAAACACAGCCTCGTTAGGGCCAAACGAACCTCACACGGAGCCCGTAAGAAAGATTTCCCCACACAGTAGGTAGCCTGCTGCCTCCATGTAATCGCTCTGTCCTGACAGCGAGTTCGTTCTCACCGAGCAAAAAAAAAACAACAAAAACAAAAAGAAAAACTGCTTCACAAGCGCTGCAGAGACCTTCTATGATAACTGTCTCCCTCGGTCTGTAACAGAAGGCTTGAGTCAAGGCATCCGACTGGAATGTATAGATAGAAAAGTTTCTCAGGAGGCAGTCCCATGGTACGATAATGGCACAAACTAAACGCTAGCCGAGTCCATTAGAAGAATGCATTAGGTCAATATGTACATCGTGTGTCTGCGAGCTCAACGCTGCCGTGAAACGCGCCAAAGTTTAAGGGCGACACCTCAGAATGTCAGTAATGCACATCCTGCCAGCAGGGCGAGCTCCGTTTGTGGACGAGATGACTCCAGCCCTCTGTGGGATGAACAGGAGGAACTAACTTCACATTAACCAGGAAGGATTGTGGAGGAGCAACACGTTGAATCTCGGCGTTCAAACCAGGGATGCACGATGATGTTGGCATGAAGGATATAAAATAAGCTTCAGTTTTGCCTGAAAATGGAACCTACAAATACATCTGATTGGAATGAGAGCAGGCGTCATAATAATAATAATAATAATAATAAGTTGATTCTACTGCAGGAGAGACTGGATGTCGTCTGCAATCAGGTGGAAAAAATATGTGCATACATTGGTGTTGGCAAGTTGGTATCTAAAAATCAGCTATCGTGCATTCCCAGCTGAAAGTCGTGTCTTGAATAATGATGTCATGGATTTAGAATTCAGGTTCGTGTAAAATAGTTCACGAGTGTTCGCTGAACTTCCCTCGTGGGGAGAAATGTGCGTTACTGCATTCTGATGCATTTCTCTTAAAAACCTGGTAGCAGTGGAAAAAAAAAACATCCAGAACAGAGGAGATCATGATAGTTCCTGCACACACACACACACACACACACACACACACACACACACACACACACACACACACAGCATCTCTTCAGGACGCTGCCAGAAGAGAGAACCAACAGAACCAGAACGTGCTCTGAACTGGACCAAGACGAAGCATCAGATTCAGTTTGACTTCCTCTGATGTCGTTTTCGTGTAACATAAAAGAGCTCAACGAATACAGCATAAAAGATTTGGCTATTTCCAAACTGAAACTTGTCACACCGGTGATGCTCAGCGGCTGAGACGTGCACACCACACACACACCACACACACACACACACACCACACACACACACACGGGAACAGGTTCACATTCAGACGGAGCAGAATACAACACTGCCATACTCTGGTAAGGCAAATCTGAACAGGGCGAGCTGTGATGATTGTGGTGACGTAGCTACAGTGTCCGGCAGCTACCTGGCGTTCGCTAACTCGAGTGTTTCAGAGGGGACGCGAGTGGTGGAACGTTTCCAACAGGCGCGAGAAAATCCCTTTCGGCTTCCAGAAAAACATAAAACCTGTCCGAGCCAGCTGTCACTCAGATACATAAATAAATCTTGGCATCAACATAAAACAACAAACTGTGGATCTTTCTAAATACGTTTTGTAACTATTGATGCTTACAAAAAAAAAAAAAGCTTATAAGCTGCACTACTTAAAAATGATTTTTTTGTTGTTTTTTGTGGAAAAGAACACGGTGTGAAGGTGACCTTTGTTTCTTCAGATTATGTCTTTTGCTATAAAAGATACCACCCCAGATAAACTTGACCCCACATCACAAATATAGTGCACTGTGCAACTTGTAACAAAGTTTGGCCGACTCTATGAAAGATAAGGGGTAGTTGTTGTTGTTGTAGCGTCCCTTCCTCTGATATCCAGGTTCCACTGAGGATAGAGGATAGCAGGCACCAGTGGTGTGGGAACAGCAACTCCTCTGTTAGTCGAGTCTCTCCTCCTTCGTCTCCTTCCCTTGTTTGTCGTCAAGCGGGGGCTGCGCGTTGTGTGTCCGCTCCACGGAGAGGCCGACGCCGTCTCCTTTCTCACAGATAAGCAAAATGCACAAAACACTCACACTCACACAGACACGCTGTATGTTACAAAATCACACATTTGTCTTTATCCTTCGCTTCTTTCTTGGCCTTGCGCTCGCCGCTCGACGGCTGTTTTCCCGGGCTGGGCGTGGCTCCAGCTGCTGCCGCCGTCCCGGCGCCGGCTGCTGCTCCACCTGCTCCTGCGGCTCCTCTGTCCGCCTCGCCGCCCTCCACAGGCTCCTGCTGGCCCTGCTGCACAACCAGAGGAGGACGTATAGATACGTGTACGTTAGCAAGCGAGGCCACTCATCGCTGCTTTTTGTTTTGTTTTGTTTTTTTACCTTTATATTATCAGGTAAAAATGTCTGACAACCAGTTCTCATTTGCAAACATGAGCTGGCCAACAAACACACATGTAAATTACAGACACAAATAGACACATAAACACAACATAGAACAAAAGTAAACAAGCATAGGGGCATACGCATGTGAGTGAAGGAAGATGTGCATGAGGTGTGAAATGTCTCGTGCCTCTCGGTGTCCGGTCTCCTTACCTGTGCCTGTGCTGCTGCCGCCGCCGCCGCCGCCTGCTCCTGCTCCTGCTCCTGGTAGTACTGGGAGGCTCGTCGGTCCTCCTCCTCTTGAAGCTTTTTGGCCAGCTCCAGGTCACTGATGCCTTCAGGGAGCTGCTCCCACTGAAGGTCCTGGCTTTGCTGCTCCTGCTGCAGTGACAGCGCCATCAGATAGTCCTGACAGTGGACAGGAACACAGACAGACGTGATGACTTCTGGGCAAAGCAGCCACTGTGATGCTGAACCCTCACAGGTCTGGGCCTGTTCTGGCTGTTTTTACATACTTTATATACCACATAGAAACATGTTTGGTATCTTTTTTTTCTACACAACATCACCGATATGATCTGACTATTAATTTTTCACTTTAACCTACTATATTAACGTTTGGGCTCAAAAATGCACAAAAATATAAAATCCGATCAGAGAAAATCTATTATTTAAGACAATAAAAACAGAAACATGCTTAACGAAGCACTTTGAAGTTAAAACGTAACCAGAGGTTGCAGATATGAACATAAAAAGGTCAATTTGATATTAAATCAAACTAAATACAGAGCAGGTGCAGCTTTCTTTCTCTTTTTATCGATGCCACTCCTGAACATAGTTTGTGTCCAGAATGAGGCAGACGGCTGCATCAGGACCTGCACGTCCACGGACTTCCTTTCTTTTTGTAAAACGACAAAAAATGACAAAGATGTTGAAAGAAATACGACGCCTTCAGCTTATATTTCATCATATCTCTGGTTTTACTGGCCTGTCGACGTGAAACAAAAACTGGTAGAGAGTTTAAAGTCTGAACTTTTGAGAGAAGTTGACAGCATCGCCGCTACTTTTTCTGTCTTGACGTCTTAAATATGTCACATGATTCTATCACACCAGCATGATGACGGACCTCTAAGGGTTAAATGTACATATACTCTGACTATGCTGGAGTCGGTTGCTCTTCTGCTAATCCGCAACTAAAGTACAGCCACAATCCACGACTACATCTCCTTAAATGAGGTGTTTGTCTTCATTCGTTTTTCTTTGTTGTCCTGTTTTCTGTTGAGTGAATAACTGAACTGATTATGAGCGCATAAAAATGCCTGAACGGATTTTTCTGAGTAAGCAGGAAGAATAAAAGCTAATAGCCCCCATGCTCTTGTCACGTCTGTGTGTGTGGGAGAAAAGGCAGACAATTTGTCAGCAAGCTCCGTGTTCGGTCCACTTGGGCCAGCCAATGAGAAGACGGCTGTAGAACCAGTAGAACTGCGTAGGAGACATAAAGCTCAATGCATTGATGAGCGAACGCTGCGGTACAGTGAAGAATGGCTGAGAACAGAGAGAGGAGGCCTGCAGCTCTGTCCTGGGCTTCCAGGCTGCTGGGTGTGAGCTGCTACTGGAACCTACAGCACATCTATTATTTAGGAACTATTCCTGTTTTTTTTTTAGCCTGGGATGATGCAAAGTGTTTTGTTTTTCTCACTTAGATGATTCAAGTGTTTCCAAAGAATTGATGTAACGTGTAAGAAAAGAGACAATCAGGACCAGTGTGCCGTTACTGGCTTCTTGCACTCTGTCTTGACCGATCGTGTAAAAAGCTCATTAAGGTCTGGGGTTGAATCGTTACTGGTCCTGCTTGTCTTGCCTGCGTTAGTGCTCAGACCTGGTCTATCTGATCCTGCTGGCCGCGGTACACGGTCTCCGGGTCAGACGGAGGCCGCAACCGGAACTCCGAGTCGCAGAAGTTGCCGTCTCCGTCGACGTTGTGCAGACTCTCCCAGACGACCTTCTCCTCTGTCAGGAAGCCTTGATCAGTAACCAGGAGGTACAGCTGGCCCTGGGGGGGGAGAAACCACATTCATCAGCATCACACGGCATCTTCACGTGGATCAGAGTGTGATTATACGTACGCATCCCTTTAAAAGTCTGCACCTGAGTGATTACTAGAACTTAGGCCGTCGTGATGCTTTGTCTGAGGGCTACGGGACACAGCTTTGCTTACATTGGCAACGACACCGTAGTGTTCAAAAATGAAAGTACGCAGGCTCATTTCCCCTCCTGCAGATAACAGGAAAGGTCTGTCACAGCTGCAGTTATACGTCCAGCCAGCTGTGGGCGGCGGGAGGAGCTACAGACGGGCCTGAACGTATAGGCACTGAATGGGACGTCTAAGTGGGTCGTCACTGGTTTAATACCCGTTACACATAAATACACAGCGTTCATCAGACTGAAGAACAGATTCTGTGTAATGAATGCTACGAGAAAATAATGTGGAACAGCAAAAGAAACAAGAGGAGAGACGTCATGTGGCAACTTCTTGTTCTGATTCGACTGCATTAATAACTGAAAATGCAGAAATTCCATTAAATATTACTCATAAGGTTTTGTATAATTGCCAACTATTCATCAAAAAGCATCCAACTGAACCATTTCTCTGTAAACGGCCCACAAAGAAGCATTTAATTAAAGCAAATGTATTAATATTAGTTCACAGACAAATCACAGGGCGGACAGTCTGAGACTGAAAAGCTAATTTTGCAGATATCTGTTCTTATATCTGCTAAGGCTCAGACAGAAATCTAGCTGGCAGTCATTTATCACATTCAAACGTCAAGGGCTTCGTGACCCTTATCGCTGACGGGAGGAACAGATGACATTATGTCCACTTTCTGAACGTGTTGTCAGCACGTCTCAGCGCTTACCTTGTATTTGATCATGGTGCTGAAGTGGTTATTCCTGAAGAAGACGCAGAGCTCTCCCTCCTGTACGGTGGATGTGAGCTCACACAGGCCGTGGTAGGTCAGCTGAGTGGCCGTGCTGTTCAGAAACTGCTCTGCTACGATGCCTGAGACGGGACACGGCGAGGAAGAAACAGGAAAACAAAGCAGGAAAAGAAGCGGTTAACTTTTGGTTCCTGTGTTTTGTAGAATATATAGACTGTTGATAAGATATCTATGATAATTATGCTCATTTTGTTTTGCTAA